TTTCTCGGTGACAGTTGGAGATAAATGCGAAAATCTCTTAATTAAAACTTTTTTATTTTTATAAAACTGGCACGTCTGGGAACTAGCTTTATTTTTTGGTTGGCTAAATCAACAGAACTGGGGAATGAGAACTAGCATGTGTTAAACACAAGAGTTTCAAGTTGTAGCTAGTTAGAACAACGCAAAATTTAATATTCGAGGCTTGAAACTTTCGCCCCGACGGTGTGTTTAATAATAATTTATCTTTGTAGCTGATGGAGTGCATGAGGAATTTGGGCGGTTTGAAAATGTTGCCCCGAATGCACACATTTTATGCCAATAATGTCTCAATATCGCCGCCCCGCGATAAAATCCAGAAAACCAATAAGTGTCAGCAGAGATGAAGACGTACAAGAGAAAATGAACCTAATCTGTTTTCTAAAGGGGTTTGCGGAATTAGACCGCACTTTGAAGGTGTGATTTCGGGGGCGATTCCGTTTCAAGGTCACGACGTAACGATTATCGTTGTTTCTGGATAGGCATTGACATAGGCGGGAGTTTTTAAAAATTAAATTAAACACTGATAATTTTTTTTCAGAATTCTGTCAACCTTCGATGCCATGCCAGAGGTGTTTTTAAAGCAACCGAATTTAGTTTTCAGAGAACCAGTAGTCGACCCATAATTTCTATAATCTTGTAAAAAAATATAAAACTTAGAGCCCCCAAGATTCTTTCTCCTTAAAAAAAACTACAAATTCCCCAGGTTTTTTCACCTTTAAAAAATAACACTAGGTTCTTTTAACTTTCCAAAAAACGCTAGTGGACCCTGTGATTTTTCACCTTTTAGAAAAATATAACACCGACATTCTTTCAGCTTCTCAAAAAAAAAAAACATGAACTCCGAGATTCTATACATAACACTTTGAGCCCCCGAGACCCGTTGAGATTCTCACACAAAAAACAAAATTCTTTGGCTTTTTAGACATAAATAACACTAAGAGCCCGCAAGATACTTTCGCCTTACAAAAAACTAGAAGCTACCGAGATTTATTCACCTTTAAGAAAAAAAATAACACTAGGAACGCCTTAGCTTCCCAAAAAACGCTAGGGGACCTTGTGATTTTTTCACTTTTTAGAAAAATATAACACTAAGTGCCCCCGACATTCTTTCAGCTTCTGAAAAATAAAACAGAACTCCGATATTCTTTGGCCTTTTAGAAATAAATAACACTTGCAACCCACGAGATTCCTTGAGATTCTCACACAAAAAACAAGATTCGTTGGTTTTTGAGAAGTAAATAACACCAAAGCCTTCGAGATGCTTTCACTTTAAAAAAACTAGAAACTCCCGAGATTTCTTCACTTTTAAGAAAAAAATAACACTAGGAGTCCCGGAAGCTTTTTTAACTTCCCAAAAACGCTAGTGTACCCTGTGATTTTTTCGCCTTTTAGAAAAATATAACACTAGGAGCCCCTGTCACTTTTTCAGCTTCTCAAAAAGAAAACAGAACTCCGAGATTCTTTGGCCTTTTAGAATTAAATAACACTTGGAGCCCCTGAGATTCCTTGGGATTCTCACAAAAAAAACAAGATTCTTTGGCTTTTTGGAAGTAAATAACACCAAGAGCTCGTAAGATACTTTCGCCTTACAAAAAACTAGAAGCTTCCGAGATTTCTTCATCTTAAAAAAAAAATAACACTAGGAGCCCCTGAGGTTTTTTAGCATTTCAAAAAACGCTAGGGGACTATGTGATTTTTTCATTTATTAGAAAAATATAACACTAGGTGCACCCGACTTTCTTTCAGCTTCTCAAAAAGAAAAACAAAAGAAATCCTAGATCCGTTTTCTGTTTAGAAATAAATAACACTTGGAGCACCCGAGATTCCTTGAGATTCTCACATAAAAACATGATTCTTTGGCTTTTGAGAAATAAAGGACACTAAGACAACTCCAGATGTTTTCACCTTAAAAAAGAACTAGATGTTTCCGAGATTTCTTCACTTTTAAGAAACAAAAAATGATACTAGGAATCCCTGAGGTTTTTTTAGCTTCTCAAAAAGGGCTATTGTTGTTTAGAAAAATATAACACTAGAAGCCCCCGACATTCTTTTAGCTTGTAAGAAAGAAAAACAAAAGAACTCGGAGATGTTTTTTCCGTTTAGAAATAAATAACACTTGTAGCTCCGAGATTCTCACATAAAAAACAAGATACTTTGGCTTTTTAGAAATAAATAACACTAAGAGCCCGTAAGATAATTTCGCCTTACAAAAAAACTAGAAGCTACCGAGATTTCTTCACCTTTAAGAAAAACAATAACACTAAGAACGCCTGAGATTTTTAGCTTCCCAAAAAACACTAGGGGACCCTGTGATTTTTTCACCTTTTAGAAAAATATAACACTAAGTGCTACAGACATTCTTTCAGTTTCTGAAAAAAAAAAACAGAACTCCGATATTCTTTGGGCTTTTAGAAATAAATAACACTTTCAGCCCAAGAGGTTCCTTGAAATTCTCACACAAAAACACAATTGTTTGGCTTTTTAGAAATAAATAACACTAAGAGCCCGCAAGATACTTTCGCCTTACCAAAAACTAGTAGCTACCGAGGTTTCTTCACTTTTAAGAAAAAAAGTAACACTAAGAGCTCCTGAGGTTTTTTAGCTTCCCAAAATACGAAAAGGGACCCCGTGAATTTTTCACCTTTTAGAAAAATATAACTCTAAAGACCCCCGACATTCTTTCAGCTTCTCAAAAAAAAAAACAGAACTCCGAGATTCTTTGGCCTTTTAGAAATAAATAACACTTGGAGCCCCTGAGATTCCTTGAGATTCTCACACAAAAAACATGATTCTTTGGCTTTTTGGAAATAAATAACACTCAGAGACCGTAAGATACTTTCGCCTAGCAAAAAATTAGAAGCTCCAGAGATTTCATCACCTTAAAAAAAATAACACTAGGAACCCCTGAGGTTTTTTAGCTTTCTAAAAAACGCTAGGGCACTCTGTGATTTTTTCATTTTTTAGAAAAATATAACACTAGGTATACCCGACATTCTTTTAGCTTCTCAAAAAGAAAATCAAAAGAAAACCTAGATACTTTTTCTGTTTTTAGAAATAAATAACACTTGGAGCACCCGAGATTCCTTGAGATTCTCACATAAAAAACATGATTCGTTGGCTTTTGAGAAATAAATAACACTAAGACAACTCCAAATGTTTTCAAAAAAACTAGAAGTTTCCGAGATTTCTTCACTTTTAAGAAAATAAATAACACTTAGAGCCCCCAACGTCCTTTCAACTTCTCAAAAATAGTACACTTGGATCTCCCGAGATTCCTTCAGATTATTACAAAAACAAGGGACTCCCAGAGTTTTTCATCTTTAATAGAAAAAATAACACTAGAAGCCCTCAAGATTCTTTTTGCTTCCCAAAAAAACACTAGGGAATCTTGTGATATTTTCAGCTTTTAGAAAAATATAACATTAGGGTTTCCTCACATTTTTCAACTTCTCCACATAAATAAAAACAGAAACGAACCAAGAGATTCTTTGGCCTTTTAGAAATAAATAACACTTGGAGCTCCCAAGATTCTTTCAACTTCTCAAAGAAAACACTTGTGGCCCGAGATTCATTAGACTTAAAAAAATAACACTGCAGGGCTTCGAGAACTTTTTGCTTTAAAAAAAATAACACTAAGGGTTCCCGACTTTTTTTCAGCTTTTCCCAAAAAAATGAAAAGACTCAAAGAAACCCCAGATTCTTTCGTCTTTTAGAAAAGAAATAACACTTGGAGCCCCCAGGTTCTTTAATAGCTTCCCCACAAAAAACACTAGGGGATTCTGTGATTTTTCACCTTTTAGAAAAATATAACACCAATATAATAACATCTGTCCAAGTGTTATTTTTTCCAAAATGCGAAAAAATTTCGAGGGCTTCAAGTGTTTTTTTTTTTTGAGAAGCTGGAAAAATCTCGGGGGTTCCTAGTGTTATTTATTTCTAAAAGCTGAAGAAATGTCGGGGGCACCTGGTGTTATTTTTTTTCTAAGGCTAATGAATCTCGGGGGCTTCAAGTGTTTTTTTTTTTCTTAAACATGAAACAATGTCAGAGTTCCCTAGTGTTTTTTTAATAAGCTCAAGGAAAATTAAGAAAAAAAATAACACTAGGAGCCCTCGAGATTCTTTCGACTTTATGGAAAAAAACAACACTTGGAATCCTGTGTCTTGACCTGACCTGATCGTTCGTAGTTAAAAATTAGAAGGTTTTCAAATTGAAACTTTACAATTTTGGTTTTAATATATATAATGAGGAAGCTGTGCGTTTTAAATATCAAAGCTTCAAAGTTAAAAAACGTCGGTGAATGTCTAAAAAAGAAAACAAAACATGACAAAAATTTATATTATTAATCAGAAATTTAAATGATGTTTATGCGAAAAATTTGAGGTGACGTCATCACAGTGTTAGTGGGGATGTCTAGACAAATTTTGCTTAGCGTTTCACCCTCTACACGATATTCCTAAACGTCAAATAAAATTTTACAACAATCGGACAGACGGACACAGGGGAGAAAGAAATGTAAATAAACCCTAAAAATAAAACCCTCGATCTGAATATTCTCGTCATTTCTTTAAAAACCTCCCCGTCATCGCAATAAATCCCCCAAAAAAATAAATAAAAAACCAATTAAACACTTTGATTAATTAGCGCCATTCGCCTTCATCCCCCTTTACGACTTCCGCCCCCCAAATAAAATTAAACTTATATTCAGCACGAAACAGTTTACACCTCCATAAACGGCTTATCCCGATAAAAACCGTTATGAATTACAATTAATTCTGTTGGTTTATTGAAAAATATGGCTCCCGCCCTGCCGCTGAAACCCATTAAAACGACGCTACCGGCGCCGACCCATCATCCCCTTTTACGTCCAATTTCATCCCATTCCAAAGAAACGCTAATTTCGCCCGATTTGCAATAATGTCGTTTGCGGGCTTGTGAAAACATCGAGGCTTGAAAAATTTACCTGTAATGGCGTGTTACCTTCGGGCGGAAGGGCGGTGGGGTGGGGCGGGTAAAGCTGGGCGAGACACATGATGGCCTCGTTGCAGAACTTCAAGCCCATCACTTCCTCGTCCTCTCGGCCGTATCTGGTACGAATATGATAATTAACACATTTTTTTTTATTAATAAAAATCGTAACTAGAGCCGAGCAGGAATTCGAGTCCCCTCAAGCGAAAAAAATTCAAAAACAAACTTTGTCCGCAAGCTCGAATAACACTCCAACCATAAATAGTTTTACGATGAATTAAAGCGAGTGTTTAAACTCGCAGTGCGCTGTAACAAGCAACAATAAAGCAATTTCCTTTATAGTCGCGTTTGTATCGTATTAGCTTGACACAGGTCAGTCGTTCGTTCCATGTTTAGATTACCATGATGTATAGTTCTTAACGTCAGTAAAATAACACTTGAAGACGGATTGACGCGACCCCGATGGTAGAAAAATTGAAACGTCAACCGGAAATTCCGCATTGATTTCACCGAAAGAGGATGGAAAGTTCACCCTCGAATCGTCTCACCGAAGATAATTTTGTTAGAACGTGTGTGCAACGTCCGAAGCTTCACACAATAGAGTCACTAGACGAGAAAGTGATCGTTTTTACAACGGTGTTGTGGTGCGGTTTTATTGCAGAGGGAGAATTATTTCTTGGATTTATCTATTTGGTCTAGTTCGCGGGTAAAGTGTGTGTAACTAAATCAGCCAATTAAAATAAAGTACTTCAATTATGTTGAGGCATGTCGTGAAATATTACACCACTATTCCATTCGGTGCGCTAGTGGAAAGGGGTGTTTTTAAAAACGAGCGACGTGCATTAGCACACAATAATTGGAGTAACAGATGTTGGTAAATTTTAATTCTGAATATAATCCCGTGCCCCAGTTTGGAACTGTAATGTAATTTAGTAATAATTGATGATTTAGCAATAACTGTGGTACTGAATTAGAAGCAGATGCCGACAGTGTTGGAGACAATGCAACTACTTTAGTTAAGTAAGATTGCATGTCCAATAAAAAATTCCCATTTAACTGAGACACAAAAAAATAAAAAAACTAAGAAATACAAACTTTCTGCACACGTCGCTGATTCCCACAACAATTTATTATTTCTGTATAATTTAATATTGCAAAACAAATTTTTTGGTTTATGAAATAATATAAATAAAGTTCGACGAGCTACGACAACTTTATTTACGTCTCTAATTATAGATGAAACAAAGTCACCATTAATATTTGTATATAATTATAGAATGGGCATCGTTAATTTAGTGAAAATCGAGGAACAAATATGAAATTCTAGTAAACATAACAAAAAAAATCCCTAGAAAAAGTAATACTCCACAGTGATTTGCTTCGACTCTTTTGGTTTTTGTGGTGCTTCGGAGGCGATAATTTTTGTAAGCCACTAAGTAACCCCTTTTAAGAAAAAAAAACACTAGAGCCCCCGAGATTCTTTCGACTTTTATAAGAAAATAACACTTGGAGCCCTCGAGATTCTTTCGCCTTTTAGAAAAAAATAGCACTTGGGCCCCCGAGATTCTTTCGCGTTCTCAAAAAAAATAATTGGGAGCCCCAAGATTTTGCGCCTTTAAAAAAATAGCCCTTGAAGCCCTCAAGATTCTTTTGCACTTTGGAAGAAAACAACACTAGGATACTCCCAAATTCTTTCACCTTTTAGAAGAAAATAACACTAGGACCTTACGAGATTCATTCACTTCCTCAAAAAAAATATTAGAGGATATTCTTGCGCATTTTAGAAAAAAATAACACTAGGGGCCCCAGATATTCTTTCGCATTTTGGAACAAAATTAACACTAGCAGATCTCGAAATACTTTCGCCTTTTAGAAGAAAACAACACTAGGAAGCCCTGAGATTTTTCACCTTGTAGAAAAAAATAACACTTGGAGCCCCCGAGATTCTTTCGCCTTTCAGAAAAAATAACACTTGGAATCCCAAAGATTCTTCCGACTTTTATAAGAAAATAACACTAGGAGACCCCGAGATTCTTTCGACTTTTAGAACAAAAAAACACCAGGAGTCCTCGACATTCTTTCGCCTTCTAGAAAAAAGTAGCACTTGGGGCCCCCGAGCATCTTTCGCCTTTTAGAAAAAATAACACTTGGAGACACCAAAATTCCTTCGTCTTTGAGAAAAAGATAACACTAGGGACCCTCGAAATTCTTTCACGTTCTCAAAAAAAATAATTGGGAGATTCTTTCACCTTTTAGAAGAAAATAACACTAGGATCCTACGAGATTCATTCACTTTCTCAAAAAAAATGTTAGGGGACCCCGTTATTCTTGCGCATTTTAGAAAAAAATAACACTTGGAGTCACAGAGATTCTTTCGCCTTTTAGAAGAAAATAACACTAGGAAGCCCTGAGATTTTTCACCTTGTAGCAAAAATAACACTTGGAGCCCCCGAGATTCTTTCGCCTTTTAGAAAAAATAACACTTGGAATCCCAGAGATTCTTTCGACTTTTATAAGAAAATAACATTAAGAGCCCTCGAGATTCTTTCGCCTTTTAGAAGAAAATAACACTAGGAAGCCCTGAGATTTTTCACCTTGTAGAAAATAATAATACTTGGAGCCCCCGAGATTCTTTCGCCTTTTAGCAAAAATAACACTTGGAACCCCAGAGATTCTTTCTACTTTTTAGAGAAAATAACATTAGGAGCCCTCGAGATTCTTTCGCCTTTAAGAAAAAATAACACTAGGAGACCCCGAGATTCTTTCGCCTTTTAGAAAAAAAATACACTTGGGACTCCCCAGAATCTTTCGCCTTTCAGAAAAAATAACACTAAGAGACCCCGAGATTCTTTCACCTTTTAGAAAAAAATTACACTAGGAGCCCCGAGATTCTTTCGCCTTTTAGAAAAAAATAACACTAAGAGACCCGAGATCCTTTTGCCAATAAAAAAAATTTGGACTCCTCGAGATTCTTTCTCCTTATAACACCTGGACTGGAACCCCCAGTATTCTTTATCTTTGAAAAAAAAAACAGGGAAAGACCTCAAGATTCTTTGCCCTTTTAGGAAAAAATAACACTAGCAGACCTCGAGATTCTTTGACCATTTAGAAAAAAATAACACTTGAAGCCCCCGAGATTCTTTCACCTTTTAGAAAAAATAACACTATGAGCCCAGAGATTTTTTGCCTTTAAAAAAAAAACTTGGAACCCTCGAGATTCTTTCTCTTAATAACACCTGGAACCTCCAGTATTCTTTAACCTTCAAAACAAGCAGGAAGGGACTTCAAGATTATTTCCCCTTTTAGAAAAAGATAACACTTGGGGTCCCCAAGATTCTTTCGTCTTTTATAAGAAAATAACACTAGTAGTCCCCGACATTCTTTCGCGTTAGAGAAGAAAAAAAAACTCGGAGCTCCCGAGATTCTTTCAACTTTAAAAAAAAATAACACTATGAGCCCAGAGATTCTTTTGCCTTTAAAAAAAAACTTGGAGCCCTCGAGATTCTTTCTCCTTATAACGCCTGGAACCCCTAGTATTCTTTAACCTTGAAAAAAAAGCAGGAAGAGACTTCAAGATTATTTTCCCTTTTAGAAGAAGATAACACTTGGGGTCCCCGAGTTTCTTTCGTCTTTTAGAAGAAAATAACACTAGTAATCCTCGACATTCTTTCGCGTTAGAGATGAAAAAAAAACTCAGAGCCCCCGAGATTCTTTCGCCTTTTAAAAGAAAAAAACACAAGACGTGCCGAGATTCTTTCGCCTTTAAAAAAAATAACACTATGAGATTTTTTGCCTTAAAAAAAAAAACTTGGAGCCCTCGAAATTCTTTCTCCTTATAACACCTGGAACCCCCAGTATTTTTTAACCTTGAAAAAGAAGCAGGAATGGACTTCAAGATTCTTTCCCCTTTTAGAAGAAGATAACACTAGGGGCCCTCGAGAATCTTTCGCTTTTTAGAAAAAAGTAACACTACGAGATTATTTCGCCTTTTAAAGGAAATAAGACCAAGAGACCCCAAGATTCTTTTGTCTTTCAGAAGAAAATAACACTAGGAGCCCCCAAGATTCTTTCGCCTTTTAGAAGAAAAATACTCTAGGAACCCCGAGATTCTTTCGCCTTTTAGAAAAAATAACACTAGGATACCCCGAGATTCTTTCGTCTTTTTGAAGAAAATAACACAAGACGTCCCGAGATTCTTTTGCCTTTAAAAAAAACTTGGAGCCCTCGAGATTCGTTCTCCTTATAACGCTTGGAACCCCTAGTGTTCTTTAATCTTGAAAAAAAAGCAGGAAGAGACTTCAAGATTATTTTCCCTTTTAGAAAAAGATAACACTTGGAGTCCCCGAGTTTCTTTCGTCTTTTAGAAGAAAATAACACTAGTAGTCCTCGACATTCTTTCGCGTTAGAGATGAAAAAAAACTCGGAGCCCCCGAGATTCTTTCGCCTTTTAGAAGAAAAAAACACAAGACGTCCCGAGATTCTTTCGCCTTTAAAAAAAAAAATAACACTATGAGCCCAGAGATTTTTTGCCTTTAAAAAAAAACTTGGAGCCCTCGAAATTCTTCCTCCTTATAACACCTGGAACCCTCAGTATTTTTAAACCTTGAAAAAAAAACTGGAATGGACTTCAAGATTCTTTCCCCTTTTAGAAGAAGATAACACTAGGGGCCCTCGAGAATCTTTCGCTTTTTAGAAAAAATAACACTAGGAGATTATTTCGCCTTTTAGAGGAAATAACACCAAGAGACCCCGAGATTCTTTTGTCTTAAGAAAATAACACTAGGAGCCCCCAAGATTATTTCGCCTGTTAGAAGAAAAATACACTAGGAACACCGAGATTCTTTCGCCTTTTAGAAAAATTATCACTAGGATACCCCGAGATTCTTTCGTCTTTTAGAAGAAAATAAAACAAGACGTCCCGAGATTTTTTTGCCTTTAAAAAATACTTGGAGCCCTCGAGAATCTTTCTCCTTATAACACCTGGAATCCCCAGTATTCTATAACCTTGAAAAAAAAACAGGAATTGACCTGAAGATTATTTCCCCTTTTAGAGAAAGATAACACTTGGGGCCCTCGAAATTCTTTCACGTTCTCAAAAAAAAAAAAAACTGGAAGACCCCGAGATTCTTGCATATTTTAGAAAAAATAACACTTGCAGACCCCGTGAATTTTTCGCCTTTTAGAAAAATAACACTGGGGGATTCTTTCGCCTTTTAGAGGAAATAATACTAAGAGACTCCGAGATTCTTTCGCCTTTTAGAAGAAAATTACACTAGGAGCCCTCGAGAATCTTTTGCCTTTAAAAAAAAAACTTGGAGCCCTCGAGATTCTTTCTCCTTATAACGCCTGGAACTCCTAGTATTCTTTAATCTTGAAAAAAAAAGCAGGAAGAGACTTCAAGATTATTTTCCCTTTTAGAAAAAGATAACACTTGGGGTCCCCGAGTTTCTTTCGTCTTTTAGAAGAAAATAACACTAGTAGTCCTGGACATTCTTTCTCGTTAGAGATGAAAAAAAACTCGGAGCCCCCGAGATTCTTTCGCCTTTTAGAAGAAAAAAACACAAGACGTCCCGAGATTCTTTCGCCTTTAAAAAAAAAATAACACTATGAGCCCAGAGATTTTTTGCCTTTAAAAAAAAACTTGGAGCCCTCGAAATTCTTCCTCCTTATAACACCTGGAACCCTCAGTATTTTTAAACCTTGAAAAAAAAACTGGAATGGACTTCAAGATTCTTTCCCCTTTTAGAAGAAGATAATACTAGGGGCCCTCGAGAATCTTTCGCTTTTTAGAAAAAATAACACTAGGGGACCTCGAATTTCTTTCGCCTTTTAGAAAAAATAACACTAGGAGCACCGAGATATTTTCGCCTTTAAAAAAAATGGAATCCTCAAGACTCTTTCGCCTTTTAGAAAAAAATAACACTAGGGACTCTCGAGATTTTTTCACTTTCTCAAAAAAAAAAATTAGGAAACCCCGATATTCTTGTGCATTTTATAAAAAAATACCACTAGTAGTCCTCAAGATTCTTTCGCTTTTTAGAAAAAAAAGTAAACTTGGAGCCCACGAGATTCTTTTAGTTTCACAAAAAAAATACAAGTGGACCCCAAAATTCTTTCAACTTTCAGAAAAAAAATAACACTAGCAGTCCCTGAAATTGGTTCACATTCCCCCCCCCCCCCCCTCCCAACCACAAACACAAAAAGGCGTTAGAAGACACATTTATTCGCCTTTTAGAAAAAAATAACACTTGCACCCTCCGAGATTCCGTCAGCTTCTCAAAAAAAATCACTAGGAGACCTCGACATTCTTTCAGTTTTAGAAAAAAGTAACACTAGAAAAAATTGAGATTTCTGCGCATTTTGGAAAAAATAACACTTGGAGCCCCGAGATTCTTTCGCCTTTTAAAAAAATAACATATGGAGCCCCAACATTTTAAGCTTGTTAAAATAAAACACTACGAAACTCCGAGATTATTTCGCCTTTTAGAAAAAAATAGCACTTGAAGTCCCTGAGATGCTTCCGCTTTATAGAAAAATTAACCCTTGGGACCTCCAAGTGTTAAGTCCAAACTTGTATAGACTAAACTACTTTTGGAAATATCGTTCTACCCTATAAAATTTTATTGGCAATAACGAGACGGACAGTAGTACAATAGCAAGAGATATTTACAACTTAAGTTGTCGCGTGCCGGTAATCTCCAGATGTTAGAAAGCAGAATAATCCAGGTCCGGACCATCGTTACTCATGAACGGAAATGACCATTATTTTATGAGTACAACTACCTGCTAAATGTTCTCAGACAAATTCGAGTGAACTGGTGTGAGCCATAAATATTTCTTACCACTGTACTACTGTCCGTCTCGTTATCGTCAATAAAATTTTATGGGGTATAATGAAATTTCCAAAACTATAAATAAAAACACAGAAGGACCACAAAGTTCTTTCACCTTTTAGAAAAAAATAATATTAAGAGCCACCGAGATTTTTTCACCTATTTAGAAAAATAACACTGGAAGTTCCCAAAATTTTTCATTTAAAAACAAATAAAACTTGGACCCCTTAAGATTCTTTCAGCTTCTAAAAAAAGGCTTTTCGCTTTTTAATTCTTCAAAAAACGCAATCCTTTAGCTTTTCGAAAAAAAGAAATAACACCAGGAGTTCCCGACATTCTTTCAGCTTCACTAAAGAAGAGTCATTAAAGAATCTTTTGTATCTTTCAGCTCCTTTAAAAAGTCACTAGAAGACCTGACCTGATCTGACAAGCTCTGACCTGACTTGGCTTGACCGAACTCGCATTAATAAAAAAAGGGGCCCCCCGAAATCCTTTCAGTTTCTTTAGAAAAATGCACTAGAAGACTTGACCTGACCTGACTGAACCCGAGATTTTGTCGCATTTTAGAAAACACCGTACATTCTTTCAGCTTCTTTAAAAAAAAAAAAAAACACTAGAAGACGTCGAGACTTTGTAAGTTGTTCGCTTACGCTCGAGAAGTAAAAAACCCTAAATTTTCACACAACACCTGCCTAAGTGCCAACGAAAGCAACAAAGCTACTGACACTCAAAGATAAATTATCAAACAGCTCCGTAATCAATCATGATATTTTACCCCGAGATGCAACAAAGCAAACTCCGGACATAATTCCAAGTTTCTATTCACCCTCTTTGAAACTAAAGCCGGCATGACTGAAACCAGCTTACGTAATTTAAAATCGTACGTCGGTTTCCACACATACTGACTTTTAATTGAGTTTCCGCGCGGCTGTAACGAGATTACTCTGAAAGTGTTTCCCGAATCGGATTTTATTTATGCGGAACGTCATAAGTTCCATTGTGGGGCGAAAATTGTTCTCGTCGGCCGTATAAAGAGCCAGAGACAGCTTCTTGTTCAAGCAGACCCTTCTAATAATAACAGGATCCATTAGTTGGGACGCGGCAGGATTTTCAAAACGCCACCACAAGGGTAACTTAATACGGGGTTTTTGTCTAGAAGTCGAAGGGGTGGAGTTTTTTCGCAAAAAAATGGTTAGATTTAGTGCGACGAATTATGTACCTAAAATTTTGATGACGTTATCTAAAAATGTGCTAAGTTTAAAAAATCAACTTCACATGGAAAAACTTTTTTCCATTTATTCTCAATCTACTTGTTTCGACCAATTTTTGTGGTAGCTGTTAAACTTAACTTAACGATAAACTTAACCACTGTTCATGTCACAACACACGCTTCCACAATATTGATTACTCAATAATCTTGTATTACACAACCATTAATTTATTACGCTTGCAAATGGTTATTATCGAATAACGGATTTAACATGTTGACACAGCATCACCGGCATGTTTAAATTCCAACAATGTCAACATCACACACAAAATTTTCATCGACACGGGTCAATATTTGACGCAGTTTTCATGCCTTCATTAAAAATAGAGGGGTCGGTGATAATTTTCCACGTAGAGGCATCAATAGCGTTTTACCGAGAATCAATACCAACAATCCCTGTCTTACCTGAACGTTAACGTGATCTGTCCGTAAACTTTTCGGTTCTCCACAAACTCGGGGTCAACTAGCAGGACTCCTTGGAGTCTATCGATCCTACCTGCAGACACCACCAAATCACGGGAACTTAAGTACATCGTCAGCTTGTTATTAGGGGATGATTTCTTGAAGACCCTGCAACAACCACGAGATGATTAGACGTGTAATTTAGTTTCACGATGGGGTGACTGGGAATGGGAACATTAATATTATGCGTAATACAGGATAATCGTGTCTGATGTCTTGCGGAGAGAAATTTTTACCCGAAGGGACATTGACCACGTTAATTGTTATGGAGCTATATTTGAAGATTTATAATTACCCAACGAACCCCAACTAATTTAAATAGAATTTGAATCAATAATTTTGTTCTCCCGAGTCGTAATGGCACTCATACATAAATAATTAGGTCAGGAAGTAATACACAACCGCCAGACAATAATTTCTCCTCCTAATTACAAGCACAACGGAATCTCTCGAGGAAACAAACGTGTAATTACCTGCTCCGGAAAAGTTAGACACCGTGCAGCTGAATCTGCAGGCGCAAAGTTGAAATTGGTTTTTTCCTGCCCGATAAATAAATTTTTAATTTTGCAGGACATTAATTACGAGCTGCCAATAAAACGCGCCCTACGAAATTCTACGTCAACTCCCAAATTAATTTTAATTGAGATTATTAAAACCTCTTTGTTTTCTTCACCAGTTATTTCTCGGCGTAATTAATTAGTAAAGGTAGTCAAAACCTCTTGAATGGAAATGGCCAAATTCTGAAGAGCTCGCGATGCCAATTAGTAAATCCGGTGACAACACAAGAATCGCCTCCATACGGTAACTGGAAATCAATAAAGAGCGGATTTTAGGCTAAAAAAAATAAAAACGGGAAATTTATGATTGATGTTTTGAACACTTGATAGTTTTTATTTTTTCTACACATTCTATTTCTGGCATTTTAATGTTTAGAGCAGTTGACATTGTTCACATTTTTACCATTTTGGCCATTTTCATATTAATTTAACATTCTCGAGTAATTTAGAATTTTTAACTTTTATAAATAAAAAGCTTAACATATTTTGTTTGTGAGATTTTTAACCCTGACTTTTTTTGTCAAATTGAAGAAGGTTGACGTCTTGTTATTTTTGACAGTTTTGAAATATTTGATGCCTTTGACGTGTCTGACATTTCTACATATATTTGACGTATCACTTTTTCCGACTTTTTTTACGAATGGTTGTCAGCTGTAACCTTAAACTTTGACACGTTGTCGATATTCTTTACGTTTCTACATTATTTTTGACATTTTGACGTCTTTAGTTGAGATAATTCACGTTTTTACCATTTTTGACATTTTAACGGTTTTGACACTTCTTGATGTATTCCATGTTTGAAAATCTTTAACTGTCATATGTTTTTATTTTGTAGAGGTTTTGATATTTTCGACATTTTTTAAATAAAAGTTTTATGATATTTGTTTCTGTTCTAACTCTATTAATCACCTACAAAAGTTCAATGTAAAATACTTCTGGTTTATGAATCCGCCTTGAGTTTTTACCTTATGTATTCAAATTTTCGAAACAAGTAACTTTGTATGCATAACTTGTTGTTAGAAAATGCAAAAATCTACAATTAAGAAATCGGAAAATCGAAAAATCCAAAAATATAAAAATTGAATAACGAAAAGTCAAAAAATCGAAGCATCGAAAAATTGAGAATTCGAAAATTCGGGAAATCGAGATATCCAAAAATCGAAATGGCGAGAAATCTTTGGAACTTTTGAAAAGTTGAAAAATCAAAAAAACAGCAATCCGAAAATCGAAAAATTCAAAATTCGAAAAATAGAGAACTCGACAAATACAAATCGAAAAATCGAAATATGCACAAAGAAAAATAACATTGACATAACATAACCCAGATTTATGGCCGTGATACAAAGTGCCTGTGAAAATTATTATCTTGAAAGTTTTGAATGGTTTCCGGATACTGGAAAGAGAAAGAGAGGAATGGAAAGAAAAGGAGAGAAGCTTCGAAGAAAGAATCAATAATTTAGAGAAGAAGTTGGAAAAAAAAGAAAGGTAAGAAAGAAGAAACAATTTCATAATTACGGGTATGGAAATAAGGAAAAAAACAGATGCAAATGAAGTAGAGGAATTTTTGAAAAAAGAAATTGAGGTAGAAGTAAAAGTGTTGGAAACAATAATTATAGGGAAAGAGGAAAGCAAGAAAATACTGGTTAAGACGCTTTGGGAGAAAAAACAAGAGGTGATGAAGAATAAAAATAAACTGAGAGGAAAAATAATATATATTGATAATGATTGGACAGTACAAGAGCAAAAAATTCAAAAAGGAATTAGGGAGGTAGCTAAAGAGGAAAGAAAAAAAGGATACACAACAAGGGTGGGATATATGAAACTGCAAGTAGGGGACAAAATGTATACATGGAATGACAATAAAGGAAAATTGGAAGAAAAATTTCACAAATCAAGTCAGCACTAACCGAAGAAAGAAACACAAAGGGGAGGGGTAGTAATGATAGGACAAATAAAGACTTTAGGTTTAAGAATGTAGATTTTGTACATAATAGGGGAATGGGAAAGAAGAATGGGGAAGATAAACGTGGTTTAAAATTACTCTTTTGGAATATTGCTGGTCTGAAAAAGAAAGATAATTTATTTTGGGACTACGTGAAAAGTTTTGATTTTGTGGGACTAACAGAAACATGGATACTAGAGAGAGACTGAAACAAACTGAAAGACGGGTTGCCAAAGGAATTTAAGTGGAAATTGCAAAAAAAGAAAAACGCAAGGGTAGAGCAAAAGGTGGAATCATAACAGGAGTGAAGAAAGATATAAAAGAAATAGAAGAGGGGGCGATAGAAATGGAAGGCATGGTTGAAAGAAAACTGACTATAAATAAAAAAAGATGGAGAATCTGCACTATATATAGTAGAGAAATGAGAAACTCGGAACAAGAAATACAAGAAAAAATCGAAGCGTCCGAAGAAGAATTTCTACTGTTAGGAGGGGACTTTAATGCCAGAATAGGGAACAAAAGCAGGAAAGAAGACGGGGAAAACACACGAAAATCGAAAGATAAAGTAGAAAACAAAGACAGAAAATTGCTATGGGAATTAATTGAAGAAAGAGGTTGGGAAGTCTTGAATGGGGTGAAGGAAGGGGACGAGGAGGGGGAATCGGTAATAGACTACGGAATAGTAAACGGATTAGCAGAAGAAGAGGTAGAAACATTCAAAATAGGAGAAAGAGTGGACTCCGATCACATGCCACTAGAAGTAAAATTGAGGGGCATAAGTAGAAGGAGCGGATGCTTAAGTAATGAAGTAGGAAAAGAGAAGAAGATATGGGTATGGAATGAAAAAGGAATTGAGCATTATAAAAAAAAATGTTGGAAGTGGAATTTAAAGAAAAAGGAACTGAAAAGAAAATGGAAGAATTAAAAAGAGAAATTGAAAAAGCAGCCATAAGAAAAGAAATTGTAACGAGAAATTTAGGAAACAGAAACAGATGGTGGGATAGCAGATGCAGAGATTTAAAAATAGAAGCAAGGAAATGTTTACGAAGTTGGAAAAAGGGGAAAGGTGTAAAAGAAGAGTACTGGCAGGCAAAAAATAATTATACAAAACGATGCAAAGAAAAGAAAGAAGAGATACAGGAAGAAGAAGAAGAAAAAATTAAAGCCATAAGAACTGAGCAAGAGGCATGGCAGTATATAAATAAAGAACGGAAGAACAAAATCACGATTAGTGAAGACATACCTATAATACAGTGGAAGAAACATTTTATGGAACTGTTGAATGGAAACATGTTGCATATACCTTCGTTCATTTTTTTAAGGGCGTGAACTAAATTATGCAACATAATATACATAAACTAAGCATGACGTTGATTAGATTTTCAATTACAATAAAATGTGTAATCCAAGACTACATGTTAAAACAAATGAAACAAAAAATTCTAGGTTAACAGTGATGTTACATTTTAAGAAAACGTTTTGATCAAATCAAAAAAGTTCACCCTATTTTCTCGAAATTTTGAAAATACAGTCGATTCTTTTCTTCTTTTTAATCGTGCGTACTATGATGAATTTTTCATTCGTTGTCAGATCACGGGGCGGAGCTTAATTGCAAAATCCTTATTTGTCTAGAAAAATTTACCATTTTAAACACTTTTTAAGTTTCTTGCTGTCAAAAAGAAGTATATTATATGTATATAAAAAAAAAGTGAAAAATCGATTATTAAAAAATCCAAAAATAGATAAAACGAAAGGTTAGAAAATGCAGAAATCTACAATCAAAAAATCGAAGAATCGAAAAATTGAGAATGCGAAAATTCGGGAAATCGAGATATCCAAAAATTGAAATGGCGAAAAATCTTTGGAACTTTTGAGAAGTAGTAAAACCAAAAAAACAGCAATCCAAAAATCGAAAAATTCAAAATTCGAAAAATCGAAATATCGAAATATGCACAAAGAAAAATAACATTGACACAACATTACCTAGATTTATGGCCGTGATAGAAAACGCCTGTGAAAATTATTATCTTGAAAGTTTTGAATGGTTTCCGGATCCATGAATTTATATAAACCGAGACTGAAACGTCGAGAAAACATGAAATCAGACGTCGTCAGAACGATTTCCCCGCACTTGACGCTCTGGAAATAAAACAACTTCTATTTATGGTATCATTACTAGACTGTAACGAGCAAAGAGCTTCAATTTGCGACAAAATAGTTTGTGTTTATTCCTCACCGTTCACTCGTTTTACACCGGTACTTAAAAGAGTAGACACAACTGTAATGTATTGTGATTTTAACACGTAAGAACTAAAAATTTTCGACGTATTTGACTTAAATGGGTTCAGTACTCATATTCCAGGCACTCGAAATAAGCAAATAATCCCGTTTTCGCTGGGTTCCATTGCGTGAGCGCCACTTTATCTGATTAAGCTCACTTTACTTCTATAAATTTGTTAATCTTTATTCTTTCGTCCCGGATTACACAGTCTTATTAAAGAGGAACAAAGCAGGGATGACTGGATCTAATCTAATCACAATCTCCCTGACATGCTATATTTGGGTTTATGTAGGAATAACGAAGGGGAATTTCAGTGAAGGATCGGGGT